TGCTTCATGGAAGAACAACCTCAGATTAGCCTGTTAGCTTTAGCGCCAACGCTATATTGCCTTATATGTATTAGCTCGGCGCTAACAAGCTAAACTGAGCTAAAATAAAGTTTAATGTCACAACTAACCGTGCATCCCTTTAAACTTGACATCTTTTCAGAATTGGACCTACAGGAGTGTTGGGGTCGGGTCAGGGGGATTTTAGCTCCCAGCCAGTTGAGATGGTTTTTGGGCCCATTGTGAGCCTGGTTCTGGTTCTGGTTCTGCTGGAGGTTCCTCCTCTCTCACTTCACCTTCATCACAGTTTCATGTCAGCATGCTGAACGCCTCCGACGGTCCGGTTCAGGGTACCACTCCCCGACACCATTAAAGTTCCTGCCGTTCAGTATTTGGGACGCCCAGTCACGGGTCAGGAGGCCCGCTGGGTGGGAGGAGCAGATTACAGATTACAGATTACAGGAGCAGGTTTAAAAACAGGACCGGACGACGACGGCAGCAAAGAGGACGGAGATCCACAGAACTGAAAAGTGGCRGATCGGAGGAGGAGGAGACACTCAGCAAGTCTGAGGCTCCAGGGGAGCCGATAAAAAGAAACTAMGATTTCAGATCGTGGACTGAAAGGTCCAGGTTTTGTGGCGCAGCAGCTTAAAGTGCAGGAAATAAACTTTAATCTTTACTGTCCTRATGCATCTCAGTAATCCAGGTAAAAAATCAAGAAGAAATAAATTGTATAGGTCTTCTGGACGGGTTCTTCTCTAATGAAACGTTTCGTCTCTCGAGACGAAACGTTTCATTAGAGAAGAACCCGTCCAGAAGACCTACACAATGTTTCTTTTTTATTCTTYACTCTTCATTAAATAAATCTCTATAATCACTTCTACTTGATGAACAAACAAACCCGGCTGAGAACAGAAAGGATTAATGAACGAACAGAAAAGGTTTCAGCCACAGCCGACAAGGAGACTTCGTCCTTGGACCCAGAAAAGCTGTTGTTGAGGTTTAACTCGAGGTCTAAAAGAGCAACTCTTGAATTATGCATGGAGGCCACGAGCTTCTTTAGGAGCTAAACAGACTTCAGAAGTGCAGTTTGAAGAGTTTGATTCGGCTCTGAAAGCTCTCCTCGAACCTTTTAAGTGGCCGGCGAGCACACGCCGCGCGSCGCTAATGCTGCTAAACTTCCAGCCAGACAGAACCGGCTGCAGAGTTTTAAACGTGCAACGTTTTAGTATAAAATATATCTGACTGCCGGTGCTTAATTCAATTAGTTTTCCTTTCAGGGAGACGAGGAAGAAAAGATTCACAGAAAATCACATTTAGAGGAACAGATGAGCTGCTGCCACGCTGATTTGATTTTCAATTACTTGAGTAAACTGCTCTGATTATCAGACACTTTTTCAATTTTCTCATAACACTCCTGTCGACGACACTGAAACGCTGATAATGAGGAGTTTTATTTTGAAAATCCTGACCTGGTTTGGGTGTGAGAGCGGTCAGGTCCAGGTGGCTGTGCTGGTAGTCATGGTGGTGGTTTCCTGTTCGGAGAGAAGAGAAACAAAACTCAGAGCTCAGTTTTTAACCAGGGTTTTCTGCCTTTTGATCAAACTTTATTATTTCGTTCATAAATTGTGGACGAATTCCAACAAAACCAGAGCTCCTWAAACATCTGATTGTTTCTGGTTAAATTTAATGAAGACATCCACACAGAACGCTCCGATGCAGCCGTAATAAACCAGTTTACTCATAAATCAATAACAATAAATGCAAGTTTCAGGTCAGATTTTATATAATTGTTTTCAGATTTCTTGGTTTTTTCTCAGTCATCCAACAGTTTTACATTTTGAAGACATTTTTCAGAGAAGCAGAACCTTTCAGATAGCATTTTTATTAAACAAAAAAAGACATCCAACATGTTGAACAGTATAAAATCCTCACTTTCTGCACAGCCGAGGCCCTGGAAATGTATTTAAAGTGTAACTTACCCCAAAATTAACTTATTTTAGCTGATAAACTGTCTAGAATGTGTCTAAAATGTTATATAGTACTGTTTCTGTGCTAATTTTGATGTTTTTGTGCGTATTTGTTCAAATCTGTAATATTTGGTCTAAAAACGTATTTTTGCTGCTCATATGGGTGGAGCAGTGGTACTGCAGGCTAATTTACATATTGGTTAACGGCTCTCCTCTGTGACGTGTCTTCTCCACAGTTTCATCACAGCAGCTGTGTTCTTGGCAGCAACTTGTACAGATTATCTATAAATTATAAAGATTTGACATAATTTTGCAGGTATACGGACGTATAGAGCAATCTCAGGGATTTTTTCAAGTCTTACGGATATTTTAAAAACCTCATTTTCAAATTTATCTAACATGTCAGAGCCTATAGGATGATTTAAAAAACAAYAAATAACATCAAACAGCCATCTTCCAACCTGTTCTGCTGCTAGAAATAAGTTACTTTTTCCTCTCTCCTTTCCTCCTGCTTCGCAGCAGGCGCTTTCATGTCCGCAGCTGACCCCCCCACCCCGAGTTATCTTTTCTGGGTGGGGGGGTGAGATACACTTTAATATTTGGATTTCTGCACTGACTTCATGTCGGTTTGCTAAAATAATCAGATTCCGTGCTTATGTTCCACAAATACATTAAAAAATAAAAATAATTCTGATGAAAACTTATTATTTAAAGACCAGACAGTGTTGTTTGGAGGATTTTTTCTCCACTTGGTCAAATTTTAAAACCTCTTTCTTTAATAATTTGTGGAGGATGAACCCAGAACTGCAGATATAATAACAATAATAATAAAAAAACACAATCAAAAACCAGGACAAAAGCAACAAATCGCATTTATTGCTTCCTGTTCTTTCACTAAAATAAAGAAAACATTTCGTCCTGTTCGCAGTCTGATCTGCCAAACTCAACTTGTAGCTGGACTTTACCAAACCGGACCGGACTGGACTGAACAGGACTGGACAGGACAGGACTGGACTGGACTGAACAGGACTGGACAGGACAGGACAGGACAGGACAGGACAGGAGAGGAGAGGACTGGACTGGACAGGACAGGACTGGACTGGGCCAAATTTAGTGTGAATACATGAAAAACTGAACTCATCACATGCTGTGAAAAGAACATCCAAAAAAAAAAAAACTTTCCTAAAAGCCAAGAAAGAAAGTCCTGAACACGCTGGGAAACAGTGGAGGAGACGGAGAACAACAGGCAGTATTTATGGTGAGTGAAGACGAGCGACACCTGCAGGTTGTTTCGATGAGCCAATCAGAAGCAGGTGTGATGGCAGCTGAAACAAAGCCGCTCAGGAAACACATTAAAGCTTCAGCTGAGAGCAACAAGCAGACCTTAAAGTGACAGAAAACACCAGAAATCACACCAGACTCCCTCCTGACAGTCAGAACGTGACACGTCAAACACCGACGTGTCCTTTACAAGTCACGCTYTGTAGGTACATTCAAACACAGGGAGCTGGAGAAATAAAAAAACTTCAATTCATTAATTCAACAAAACAGAACACGGCCCGATGTGGCTTTAAATGGATCGATGAGGGAAGAGGCTGCAGCTGTGACAGGTGAAAACACAGAGCAGGTGTGGATGGGCGTGGCTGAGTGAGGAGCAGAGACTACACGCCACATGATGATCCATCTAAAAGATTGATTCGTTTATTCAGAGCCTGATYTTCTGAGCAGCAGAAACAAACTTTAAATTTAAATATTTTTGTTTTTAATCCTCCTGCAGATGATTGAGTTTGTTAAAGATCAGTTTGTTCGCAGCTGATTTTCCCACCGGGTTCATGTGACATTTCTGAGAAACTGAGTGTTTCTCAGAGCCAGATGTAAATACGATGCTGCCTGGATTTATTTCACGTTTTTTAAAATWTATTTATATTTTTTTTCCCAGAACGTGAACACTTGTTAGAGTCTGTTCTATGGAGACGTAATTATAAATCACAGCTTTGGTGCGTTCTGCCTACAGCTGTGTGCTGCTTTCCAATCAAACAGGTTTGATCCGACTGCGACCAGTTACAGCAACATTAAATAAATCTGATTCCTCTGCAGGAACTGTGAGAAACTGGACAGAAAGGGTTAAAACCAGTTAAAAGAACAGTTTTACTGATAACAAACTGGGTTTAATTTAAAACCATCCTGTGCGTCTTCAGATATTTTGCTGACAGGATGGCCCGTCAGTGGAACTGTTACTCCAGGACGCAGCAGCTGACAGGAACCGTGCTACACGGATCAGTGGCGGCGGAGTGGGCGGAGCCGTCACGAACGAGGCGARCGCTGGCGGGTTCCAGCCGGCGGGCCGAGGGGATCCCACTGTGACCCAGATCCATGTTAAACGCCTGGTTCTGCTGACGGACCGACGCTCCACGCTCTGTCATCGTGTTGGCAGAGTGTGAGGTTTCATGTGGGACAGATCACCTCAATGTGTGTGTGTGTGCACGATGAAGAACACATCATCCTCACTTTTCAGCTACTTTAAAGTGCCTGTGACACCGGATTTTTGTAATAAGCATGAATGCATTTTTGTAAAGTTAACACTGATAACATACTGCTAAAACATCATGTTGCTGAGATGAACAGTTGTTGAGATATTTGTATGTGAAGAAACAGGAAGTGATGTCAAAGGGGAATGTCTGCATGTGAACAGAGCGTTACGACATCGGYTAACAACCCAGACTGTAGAAGAATCTGATGTTTTAGATTTAGATTTGATCAGAGATAAAGAAGAGTCAAAGTGAAAATWATATTGTTCCAAAAAWMAAAGACGAGKGAGTTTTCTTTCCTAAAGAGTTCCCCTTTGATGTCACTTCCTGTTTTACTTTGGCTGAGGCAAGATCAAAAGAAAATRAGCCAGTTATGAGACAAAATGAATAAAATTGTGCGGATTATGCCCAGTTTCTTACATATATAGATGTTTTCTTTGACTTTTTGTAATTGAATGCATGTCACAGGTACTTTAACCCTTAAAGTCCTCGTGCAGCAGGACACTTAAATAACTTATTCAAAGAATGTGGGCGATGCTCCTGGAAGATGTCAGAAAGTTCACTTGGTTTGACGTTTGTTTTTGAACTCCCACAGCTTCCTCAGAACATCACAGAACCCCCCGGTGGTGTGGAGGGAAACATGTTATTCAGGGTTCATGATTTGGAAACACACAGCTATGGTTTAATAACACACAGGATCGAGATATGAATTCCTCGCCACGACGGCCACATCGTCTAACGTTAAAACACCAGGAGGGGAAAAAAGAGGCTGTAAACAAACATGACATCAGGCAGGTCAATCATCTTTTCGTTAAACACGATGAGCAGATAACTGCAGATAAAAGCTTGAAACTAACCTAAAAATGTAAAAATATAAGAAAGCAAGAAGATGGGATAACTGCAGAAATAACAACAAGCAAACAAAAAAACCAAAACGACAGACTGATGAGAAGAGTGGCTGCAGCTGTGCCAGGTGAAAGRAGACAGGTGTAGATGTATGGCACAATATAAGGGCCAAAATTAAGACTTTTGCACAACCAGCAGTTGTTACATCCTTGTGGCAGGAGGCTATATCTATTCCTAAACCAGCTATTGATCTGATTAATGATTGGCCAGCACCGCTAACTGAGCAGCTGGAGCTGGCCAATGAGAAGGAGACTGTTAGTTTATGTTAGCATCAGAGAGGCTAGTGACTAGCATGGATGAGCTGGCATTAGCATTGGAGAGGCTAGCGACTAACATTGATAAGCTGGTGTTAGCACTGGAGAAGCTAGCGACTAGCATGGATAAGCTGGTGTTAGCACTTGAGAGGTTAGCAACTAGCATGGATAAGCTGGTGTTAGCATTTGAGAGGTTAGCAACTAGCAAGCACAAGTCGGCGTTAGAACTGGAGAGGCTAGCTTCTAGCATGGATAAGCAAGAAAACTTTCTCAACAAAAATGATTGACATACAAAACCTCTAAGCAACAT